CATTTCCGTTAGGTAGGCGAACAAAAGTAGAGAATTGTGTGGATATGTGGGAAAAGTATTTGGGGTTGCAAATAATATGGTCACTAGCCCCTGAATCAATAGTCTAGATATCATCTTTAATTAAATTTAAACAAAAGTGGCATCTGCATAGGATTTCGTGTTTGCATGGGGAATATTATTTCTGGATGAGCTGTTGGTATTGTTTTGAACTAATCATGGGTACAGAAACAATGTTTCCTGGATTAGCATTTGTGGCAATCCGATTAACAGCTGAATTTCCAAATTTCTTATTGGATGGTCAGCCATGAATCCTCCAACAATTTTCCTGGTTGTGATTCCTCCGCTTACAGTGGTCACAATATAATTTACCTCTTTTTGATGATCCAAAACCATTGGCCTGATAGGACCTATTAGATGTGGTTGAGTATGAGCTATTGGATGCATTAATGTGAGATGTGGGATTTGGACGATTTGGACCATTGGATTGAAAGAGCTGATATGGGCTGTTGATTACATTTGAGCCCCCATATAAATTAAAACCCTTTTCTTCTTAAAGCCCTAGCCACACAAAGCCACCCCTTCCATTTCCATTTTACGAAACCAGTTCTGTCTTCACTACCCCATCACTGTGAACTTCTCCCCTTCCATTTTTCTTTGCACCATCAGAGTCTCCATGGGCGATGGCAAACTCAGCAGGGTCAGTAGATCGGGATTGCTCTTTGGTGGTCTGGCTCTTACTTTCTTCTTGCACCTCCAATTGGTAATTGTTTCTCAAAGACGAAGTTGGCGTGGTTGCCAACATCTAGGTACAAAATGGGAGGAAGGCTTCAGTCAGACCCATGAGAAAGTGAATGAGCAAATCCTAGTCTTTGGCTCTCTAAATCTGCTAAAGCGTCGCTGGCGGCCCTTCAAATGGCTCTGCTACTACATCAAGTTCATTCCAAATGACATACAATCTTTTAAAATAAGTGGTGATATTGAGTTTACCTTGTTTGATTTCATCAAATTTTTGCCGGAGGGTGAAAATCTTGGCGAAATCAAGCTAGCCATACATTTCTTGAATATTTGCCCACATTTCGTGGGCATCTTCAGTTTGTGGGAGTCCGGCAACAATCTCTTGGGTTAAGGAATTGCTTAGTCATGCCTGGATAAGGGTGTTGCATCTAACCCAATGTTTGACCATTTGTGGGTCTTCTGGTGGCAAGAGGGTTTCATCTATGAACCCCTCTTTGTCTTTTGTGATTAGGGCTCATCGGAAATTGCGAGCCCAGGTTGCATAGTTGTTAGAACCAGTGAGAGGTTGCTTCACGAGCACAAGCTCAGAGCCGTCAGACATCGGAGAATATAGGGGATCTCCTAGTATCTGGGTGTTTGACGGTGGGTGACACAAGTTGGAAGAGCGAGTAAGGATTTGGACCCGTCGGGTCGGATTTTGACCCATGAACCCAAAAGGGATTGGGCCATATGAACTTGTGTTTTTGCTTTGCCTAGTATTTTGGTTTTGTTGACAAGTTGGGTTGGTTTGGGTGAGCCCATCTGAATTGGCTGTGGAGTCTATTTGGCAACTGGTTTGGTTGTGGTCTAAGGCTGGTGGTAGTTTGCTTGTATCCATAGTGGATAAAGGTAGACAGTGTTCTGTTTATGGGAGTAAGACTAATCTGAGTGCCTTATTTTGCAGATTGACAAAACGAAGACTGGAGAGGATTGTTTTGAGCGGAAATGAAGCTAAGCTAAAAACTCTGATACCATGTCAGAAGCTGATCAGAGAGAGGCAAAAGCAGCAATTAAATTGCTAAGAGCATGCTGGAATAAAGAAGAAGAAGAAGAATTACAATTGTAATATTTGTATTTTCATTGTATTGTATGTTTGTACAAAGTCCTATTTATAGAAAAAAATAAAGTATAAACTAGGAAATAAAATATTGCACCTTAATGGTGAGATCACATGCAATCAGCCGATTAATGAAGAATAATTCAGGAAATCAAGCCTTAATCCTAGCTTGCCATATTGCATATTCATGATGTTTGCTTTCCGTATTACATCAATGTACATGGTTACCTTTTGCTCCAATCTTGGACATTGGTTCGAGTATTTAGGTTGGATTTAAATCATTAAACCATTTTTAAGGAAACCTATTCAGCTTTTTATTATTATTATTAGCTGTTATTTTCTCTTCACTTGTGGGCTCTCTTTATTATTTTATTATTTTATCCCATCAATTATTTATTATTTTTTCTCCTTTCCACAAATTCTATCTTTTACCTTACAAAAGAGAAAAAATATATATATATATTTTTAATTTGTTCAAATCACAAACATTAGGCACAAATTACATGAAAGAAACGCAACATACTTATCTTTTGTTTTCAAACATCCTCATTTTTCACATTTTTTAAGCATAATCTTCATCTCAATGAAGGTAAAATTAAATAAAATGCTTGGCAGAATTATTCATTTATTTTCATGAAAAACGTGATCTAGTTCATCTTTAATCTCTTTTTCTGTTTATATTCATTACATTAATTTTTTTTTTTTTTATCTATATTGTCTATTATATTAGAAGTGATTAAACTTTTAATTTTGTAAACTATGACACTATGTTATTCCTCACCAAAGGTTTTTTTTTTTTTTTTTCCCTATAAATAACTTGAGAATTTTGGTTCAATATTTTTAATTTTCTTTTAAGTCAATATTATATTTAGCATTTGCCAAAACCAATTAAAAATTTATTGTTTTTAGAGATATAAAGTCAATCAATGTTTGGGGAAAAAAAATAAAGTGTAATTTTAAGATAAGCTCAATGGACTTTTTCTTTTTCACTCATTATTAGTATAATAATGAGTAAACACTTTAGCCTTTTGAATGGATCAAATGATTCGATTACTAAAATTCAGAAAATTGGCAACCTTGACTCGATAAATAAACATTTTGATAGTGAATGTTTAATTATTTTAATATCAATTAATAAATACATAACCAGTGGCAAATCTAGTACTTGCTAAGAGCCCACCCTCAATTTAAAAAAAAAATATTAATATGTACAATTTCTGGATTTTAGTCTACCCTAACAAAGATATTAATGGACAAAAATATTAATATATAATTAATTTTTATTTTGGTCCATTCTAATAGAAATTTTTGGATCCGCTACTGTAAATAATATTGTTTCATCAAAATATAAAATTAAATTATAACAATATATAAAGTTGTAAATCAATGCCCTATATTAAGATAAATAATTATAGAAATAACATATATCAAAAAAATAATCAAACAGAAAAAAATAAGAAAAAATATTAAAAGAATTTCAACAAAATTAAATTGATTCAAAATATTACAAAATTTCTTCCTTTTAATACTTCATTAATGCTCATTTTTTTTTTTTTTTAAATATGGAATTGAAGGGTCAACTCGGAGTGCAAGAGTCAAAGTCAATTGTGAGTTTTATATGACACGAGGAGTAACGTTTTCTCAAATCGGCACCTGCAACCGCAAGTGGTGTGGACTGTGGAGTGGGTTGACTTGGACTCGGTTTTACTTCCAAAAGAGTACTACAGCCCGACCCGGCCTGGCATAGCCCACCAACCACTGGCTTTCTTTACAAAAAGCCTATAATTGTAACAGTGACACATAATTATATTTATTTCTTTGAAATATTTATTTTTTCAAAAAAGAGTGTCATTTCTTATATTTAAAAAGAAAATTATTTAAACAAAAATTAAAATGTAAGGGTTTAATGAGGACATTGAAAATGGATGAATGTTTTAGAGTATCTTTGATACTTTAAAATATTAATAGATAATTGTGCAGACTGCATTTATAAGTATTTAAAGAAGCACTTTTTTTTTTAATTATTTATTTTGGTTATTTAGCAATGAGTTCTCCAGCTGGAGAGGACGCTGTTAGTGCTTTTGCTTATTTGTTTGTAAAAGTGCTTTTATAATGAAAAAGTGTATAAATGATTAAAAAAATATCTTAAATTTAGTGGAAGACTTTATATTTGGTTTTTTTTTTTTTTTTTTAAAGTATTCTCCTTTCTATTTTTGTAAGATATATATATATAAAGTTATCGTTAATAAAGAAAAATAATTGCAATGAAATAGTCTATAATTGAACAACTTTTAGAAAGTTTGATAATAAAAAAAAATGTCCCCAATAATCAAAGAGATATAGTATGTATGTTTGTCATGTAATGTTATATATCTTGAGAGTCACTGTGCATCTTAACAACACATCCCAACGCTCGTTTTATCTTTTGAGTTAGTAATATATCATTAATTTATTATTTATATACCAATTAAACACTTAATTTGAAAATTTATTTTTTAAGGGAGATGGATAAGCCACGTAGCAATATCAAATAATTAAATAAAAGAACTATTTTGACAGTTAATAAAACGGATTAGAAAATATTTATATAAAAGCAAATTGTCGAGAGAATTTTATTTTCATCCTTATAGTTTTAATATATTCGTCAAATTTTCATCCTTATAGTTTTAATATATTCGTCAAGGACCTTCGTTTCAAATATTAACATTTTTATTCTTTGAGACTTTTAGATGATGAACTTGAAAATTACACTAAAATGATGAAAATAATCCTCTAAAAATGATTTTAAAAAAAATGTCTTACAGAAACAATGCTAATATAAATCCAAATCACTTTCCTTCAAGTTAGTAAGAACATATTTCACACTAGTGTTATTTGTGTAATGTATTTTTGTTATTTTTAGAAGGGTATTTCTGTCATTTTCAGCCCATCAAGTCAAAGGACTAAAATGCTAATATTTCGAAAAAGTGTCCTTAAAAAATAAAAGAATATCCGCATATGCTTGTCTAAATAGTCTAATGACATTAATCAACTACCTGAAAAATCACAGTGGTAATTACGCAATTAAGAAGAAACACAAGGGCAGTTTCGGAAGAAAATTGTTACAGTGAAGGCCAGGCCTGAAACGGAAGCTTCTGTGTAGTGTTTTGGTATTCCTTTTTGACTTTTGTTTATGAAATCTTTCTCTTTTCTGTGAAATTTCAGACTTTAATTTTGTCGTTCATTTCTCACCATTTATAATTAGCAATTAAATTAAATATTAATTACTATAAAAAGAGCCTTTACTGCCCTATCAGATTACCAAGATTCTCCAGATAATTCTTGTTTTCATAGGTGACCTCTTTGAACTTTTCTCTTAAATTATATTATGTTGTTGATTATTGTGAAATTTCATTGTAATTTTTATTCTGGGTTTTGTTCTTTTAAGTGATTTAACATGTGGGATGTCTTAGTTTTGGTTTTAATTTTGGTTTTGGCTTCTGGGTTTTGTTCTTGAATGCCATTGAACATGTGGGTTGGTTTTAGTTTTAGTTTTGGTTTTGGCTTCTGGGTTTTATTCTTGAATGCATTTGATCATGTGGGTTGCTTTTAATTTTCTTAAATATTTTATGGTGGCAACTTCATTGGGATCTGTTTTTTGGTTCTTGATGGCTTTGGTTTTAGTTTGATTTTGTTTTCTTCTTGTTTAAATTTTTTAGATTTTGTGTTTTGTGTTTTAGTCTATCATATTTTGCCAAGTTTGCATTCTGTTTATGGGTTTTGATTTTTGAAATGATTATGAGGATTTTCATTGGCTTTGTTTGCTGCTTGATGCTTTTTCCTTGTTTGTTTTGAGCTTAACATTGACTCTTAATTGGTTACTCTGTTAAGTACTTTGATGATCATATATGATTCTCTTGTTTGATATTCTGCTTCCCAATTTTTATTGATTTTGCATCAACAAAATTTCATGACTTGTGAATTCAGTTGATGTAGAGGGGTGGTTGATATGGATTTTTAAGATTTTTTGTTTTTGGGGTACTTGAGTGATCTAGATATTAATGGAAAATGTTGTTTTTTTAATAGGTTGTTCTATCTTGAGAATAGTTTTAAAGAGATCTAGGTACAATGCGTGCACCATCGTTGCTTGCACAATGCTTGCCTGGCTTGGTTCCGCAAGACCGAGGAAGCCATAGCATGTCCACCATTTCAGAAAGAGATGTGCATCTCCCGTCACCAGCTGTTGAGATTCTCCCTTCAAAGGTTTGTGTTTCTACTACTCAAATGTACCAGCACTGACCTGCTTTGTAGACTTTATTGCATAGCATAGAAATTATTTATCTTTTTTTTTGAGAGAGTTGAAGCTATAAATTGCATTACACGCTAAGACATCTTCCTTTTTGCAAGGTACAGATTGCACACCCATATAAATACGCGGGAGAGAATGTAGACTTGCAAGGTTTCAATGTGTTCAAGGTATGTCAAATCTTTGTTTATGAATTTTAGCTGATCAGCATCTATACTTTGTCTTATTCGTTGCAAAATTGATTAATGCGTAAAAACCTTGCAGTTGGTTTATCTGGCAGTAGTTTTTTCTGTCAAACCACTGGAATGTTCAAGTTTATGGTTTATTTTGTTAGTGCATTGGTGTTGTAAAGGTGTATATAGACGTTGATATGATTTTAAAGTGTGTGCCACTGAAATCCAATTGTAAAATATAGGTGCCTGTTTACATTGAAATCCACGCTTAAATATTTTCATCTATGTTGTTTTCGCCTTCCACCCAGAGGAATGGAGGGGAGGATGGTTAGTTGGTGGTTGGTTGGCTGAAAGTAGACTCTTCCTTTTCTCTCTCCCTTCCTTTGCACGAAGAAAACTGGGTTGCACTGCTTGGCTGTTGTTTATATCTTCTGTAACCATATTTATGGCTTTTCTAGAGGCCATTAGAGGAAATGCTTGTTACAAAGTTATGGTGCAATTATTTGTTATTAATTTAACATTGGGAATCAAAGCTTAATTTTTATGTCTAGTTCAATCTCTTGCTTAATTTTTATGTCTATTTCAATCTCTTGCAGGGAAGAGTTAGTGTTGCTGATATAATTGGGTTCTCTGGTTCAGAAACAATATCCTCAAAACCTGATGGTACGCAGTAAGAACTATAAAATGACTTTGTTCAATTTGATTTGGTGGTGATAGAGATTTTAGCTAGGGTAATATTTATGAGAGCAGTTTCCTCATCAATGCAAGGATAGGAATTGTTGGGACTGATTAATTCGATTCTAAAGCTTTGATTTTTCCAATATATAGGATTTCTAAAATCTTGGGAGGGCTCAATTGATCTTGTTAATGTTCTTAAGCATGAGATTCGTGATGGACAGCTGAGCTTAAGAGGCAAAAGGGTACTTGAGGTAATTCAGTCATAAAAAAGTTGTTAAAACAATAAGATTTAAATTATAATTTATCGTTTTCTATGACATAAAAGTTGATATCTTGGCTTTTTTTATTCTTACAGTTGGGATGCAGCTATGGACTTCCTGGGATTTTTGCTTGCTTGAAGGTATCTATTCTTTCTGTTCCTTTTTTATTTCTCTTTAACTCTAGTCATAATTCATTACATTTTTTCACATTGCACTTGGTAGCAACTACATTGGAGTTCTAACTAAGTAGTTCCTCGATGTAACCACTAGTTTTCTAGGTGTATTCTGATGTTAATAATTTCTTTTATCAAAATGGTTTTGAACTGTCTGAAAAAAAAGAAACTTCCAATTTATACAGGGGGCTTCCACAGTACATTTTCAAGATCTCAGTGCGGAAACTATTAGATGCACAACTATACCAAATGTCCTTGCCAATCTTGAGCAAGCTCGAGACCGGCAGAGCCGACAACCAGAGGGTCCCCTGACACCATCAAGGCAAACTCTGGCTCCAACAGTGCATTTCTATGCTGGTGATTGGGAAGAACTCCCCACAGTCTTGTCTGTTATAAGGAGTGACGTATCTGAAATGACAACAGGGATGAGCCTGAGCTTCTCTGAGGAGGATTTCATGGATGGATGTAGTAGCCAAGATGGTAGCATCATAGGACAGGATATCTCTTCAAGGAGGTCAAGAAAACTTTCAGGAAGCCGGGCATGGGAGAGGGCTAGCGAGGCAGATCAGGGTGAAGGTGGTTATGATGTTATTTTGATGACTGAGATCCCATATTCTGTGACCTCATTGAAGAAGCTATATTCACTTATTAAAAAGGTTAGTTTATTGTTTTCTTGTTCTTTCATGTCATTAAAACATTAGCATTCTTGTTCACAATTATCATCATGGGTTGATATATTAGTAAGGCGGTGAAACTTATAAAGATACAAACTATGAGTTTACATGCTTTTTCTCAATTTACTGTTTCTATAACGGAAATAAAGAGCCTTGTATAAGTTTGTTGGTTTTCCTGATATTGAATAAACTATGACCTGGATGCCATTAACTAGCCTTAGAGTCAGGTTTAATTGCTCTAATCTGGAGTTGTATCTCATTAGATATCTTCTAATCCTGTTGCTTTAATAGGAAGTTATTCATGTCAAATAAGGTTAAATATAAGAAATCTGGGATCTCAACAATTGCATTACTGGATTGCAAGTTTTCATTTTAGTACATTTTTGCTTTCTCTATCTCATTGCTTGTAATTTTCATTGTTTTGCCTTATGATTTGGTATCTCCTTCTGTTGCTGCACCATGAATCTAAGATTCAGTTTTTCCTAATTTAGCTCAGTGAACATATAAGAAAAGATTGACTGCTTTCTGGGCATAGAAGAAAAAGAAATATACTAGAAGTCCTGTCGTATATGTTCTCCATTTAATACTAGTTCTATTTTTTCGGCTTAACCAGTGTTTGAGGCCTCCATATGGAGTCGTTTACTTAGCAACGAAGAAGAATTATGTCGGTTTCAATAACGGCGCACGACACTTGAGGAGTCTCGTCGATGAAGAATCCATTTTTGGAGTTCATTTAATCAAGGAGATGACTGATAGAGATATTTGGAAGTTCTTTCTGAAGTGAACACAAGTTCATCACTGGACAAAATACCTACCAGACTCAACTACAAATTTTCAGATGCTTATTTTATTTATTTACATTAATCCCATATGTATAAATTATAATACAGATTACAAGTCCCATTTTTTTTCTTTTTTTCTTTTTTGGGGTTAGTAATAATGGAACCAGAAATAGAAAGCTTGGTATATATACATCCTAATTGTTCTGGAATGGCGTAATTTTTGTTTTTTTCTATTTACCATTTATCCCATTTAAAGTGTAAATTGAACCTTAATTAAATTTTCCAAGGTTGAATTAAATGTTCTTTAATTTGTTCATTTTCCTTGAGAGTGAAAGTATGCGGACTTTATCTCCATGTCAATATTCATTTTCACACCTTTTTTTTTTTTCCTTTTTTCAATCTTTTCGCCCAGAAATTCCATGACCAACAATTGATTAATGGATGTTATGAAGCTCTAGCTATGGAGTTTCGTTAGGTTCTTTTTATGTTAAGTTTGTCCTTTTAAATTAAAAGTGTAATTGCTAGATTAAAATTAAATGGAAAGTGTTTAAGATTAAGTCATAATTTAAGTTACTGATACCCTTTATTTTATTTTCATTTAATTACTTTATATATTTGTTTTATTTTTATCTAATCACTATATCAATAATAATTTCTAAAATGTAGAGTCAGAAACAAAACCCATACTATAATAAATTATGTCTACTAAAATTTATCATCAATAGGAAAATTTATCCATCGCTTTTTAATTTTAATTCTACGTTTATGTATATGTCTGAGTTTAAAATACTTGTGCAAATCTTTTTAAATGTTTTTGAATCATTTTTGTTATTGGATTGAGAAAAAAATAAATAAATAAATTGGGTTCAAGTTTTCACAATAAGACCAAAGACCTTACATATCAAGTCTGCCATAGAGCTAATTGTATTTATCCCATGGGGTTTAGCGTTTAGGTCCACTAAGGTCCAAATCTTGCAGTTTAAACTACTAGGAGAGGACATACCCCGCATCCTATTGTAAAAAATGTTTAAGAAAAAATGAACATTTTGGGGGTAGAATCTGAACTTTTAAAACTCAGGCAACATCAAAATGAGGGTTTGTAAGCAACAAAAATCATATCCAAATAAACTAATTAATGTAAACGTTTATTAAATTCAAGGAAGGTAAATCCTAGTTTTTTAAAACTCCGTAGAAAGTTGCTTGGAAAAATAAAAAGATTGTAAGAGGAACCCATTTTAATTTATATATTATACGAATAAACACAAATATTGATATTGGTTGTGTAGAGCGAATCCCTTGGAAATAAAACTACCAATCCAAAATTTTTCCTTATAAACCATGGAACTTGTTTTAGTTCATATAATAACATTGGATAGATAAACTTTGTTTCTTCTTTTAATTTTTAATTTTTTGAATCCCCAGACTTCGGATTTGTGAGAGAAATTCCTTCAATGACATAGTTTATTATATTGGTAGATCCTTTGTGAGTCCCGAGTTTGATCATTGGATATCTCCAATGGTTCACTTGAAAAGTGACGCTACCCTTAAGACCATTTATACAGACGAAATAGACGAACTGATGCAGGGGCCTTTAAGTAAGGCTCACTGAAAACTCCATGGCAGAAAAGAAAAACTTAAGAGGACTTAATCTACAGTCCACACTTTTGGCATTTCAAATACTGGGAGATTCCCCTCCCCCCTTCCCCTCAAACTAACAACCATTAAATAAATCTTAATTTTAAAATAACATTTTTTATGCAGAGACAAAATGCCTTTTAAGGCAACATTAACCTAACTTTACTGGAAAACAATAGTATATTAAATACACCTATTCTGCTCCAAGTTTAACATCTGATAGAATCAGGGGGTCTATTCCAGTAGTTTACATCGTAGGATCTGAACTAATAGACCAAACACTTGGGGGGGTAAATACAATCATCTCAAAAAGCTTTTTCTGCAAAATCCCATCTTAACAACCAACTCTTAACACTAAAACATCAAAAAGAAAGTTTAAATCCTCAGCAAAACCCAAAAGAAAAATGAACAGTAATAGCATGATTCAATAAAAGATGACTGAGGATGTATATATCTCTGTATCATGTGTAAGGAATCCAAAAGCAAAAACTTTTGACTACATGTTCTTGCAACATCCTATTTGTTGGGTGCTTGCCGACTAACCTGATCTCTACTTCCGATCTCAGCATTATCAATGTATGTATCCTAAGGATACATATTAAAGATATTTACAACTTTTTACTATTTCGATGTTCTGTACAAACTGGCAAAAAACAGGTAGAAATTCATCATTTTCTACCATCACCGAAACAAACTAGAGTATATGAACTAATGGAAGGTTGTTATAGTTCTTTTTCAGACGATAAGAGCTAGTCGTCCTGAGATAAAAGCTAAAGTTTGGGATTCATCTTTGAGCAACTTTCCTCTGAAAATATTAGACGAGCTTTTTTCTCATATTGGCAGAACTAATAGGGAAGAAAAATTCGTTCATCATTTGTTGGCTATCTGGGTAATATCTTGACCACCAGGTTTCTAGACCTGAGCAAAATCCAAGTTTGGATTGATGATTAACAAAGAAACGATAGAAAATGAAGTAACTCTTAATCACAGATGCATATCAATTCATAAGGTCCTCTTAATCACAGATGCATATCAACTCATAAGATCCTAAAAAGCTTGGATAAAGAAGACCCTAATGTTTTTAAATTTTTTTTATTTAATTCTGTCTTGACCTATATCTATATTACAATAGTAAATTTTTTACCTATATTTTACCTTCTATAGATTACTTCATGGGGTGACAAGCTTAGAGGCGGTCTGAATCCCATTATTCAGAGAATGGATCAATCTCCACAAGAACAACCAGCCTCCTCTATCACATAATTCTCGGTGTAGTGGAAGTGAGGGTAACATACCAAATACAAAAAAACCAGAACAAAAGTAAAATTTCAGCTGGGTGCAAGTCAAATATAGAACATAAAAACACACCAATAGGATTTTTCAGGAAAAATACACTATCATACGGATTTATAAGTGTCAGTGTACAAGATGTTAAATACAACTAATACATTCGTTAAAATTTAGATACACCAAACCATATAACCTCCATAGGTGGATACCAAATACATATATTCTAAAAAATTTGACTTGGGGACAAACAAAAAAAGAGAATAAGAAACAAAATAACCAATTGACTAGAATTAGTATATTGGTTGACAGAATAAAAGGTTCAGATAAATAATCATGGATATAGACTTGCAACATGAATGCATCTTCATGCATGAAAGCAGTTAATTTCATGAGGTTATTGCGAGAACTTATATGTGAAGCGAAGTACACATCTGAATCAAAAAGTTAGGTAGGAGAGTTGACAAATTACAAAGAATTACCCTGCCGGATTTGATGTTCTGTTAATCTTCTCCACACCATCTTCCCACAGTGAATCAAACTCAAGAATGCCATGACATAAAGGAGAGGAATCCCAATAACACAACCCCCAGATGCAAAATTTACCAGTGTCTGAGGAAAATACCAAAAGGAGAAAAAATTGGTAAGCACCATTGAAGTCTATTCTCACAATTCATGACACACTCAGCTAGTACCAAAATGGAACATTTGCAAATTGACAAAAACACAGGTTAGTTATTTGGAAGGTAAGGTAGCAATGTTGAAGGACAATATAAGATTTTATCACCAACAAAAATTAATAGATAGAGATAGACGTTTCTTTGAATGCCAAAGGAAAGAAAACACATTTGGTCATTAAACCAGTACTCATGTGCATGTATGAGTGGAAGGATAAAGAAGATGATGGAACATCAAGACCTTCTTGTCCGATCACTTATTGAGGGCATCTCTCTTTCTTTATGGGATATTAAGGGGAATTTAGTTTGTAACTTGAGAAAAATTTTAAAATATTAAGATAAAATTACAAATGAAGGGGACATTAGTTAGGTACATTTTCAAATTTTAAATAAATTAGACAATCATAGCTTCATCATAGCATAGATGAACATATCTTGCTGTTCTAGGAATAATTCTGAATGTACCCTTTCAGAGTGAAAAATTAGAAATAAAATTCTCAACAAGAAAACTTTTAGTGTATATATGACAAAAGCAAGCAAAATAAGAGAAGACTTTACCAGCATTCCAGCAACAAAATGAACAACTGGAACAAAATACTGGTCCACTTTATTCCCTTCAGCATACCCATTAAACGCAATAACCATTGAGAAAGTGTGGATTGTAACAAATGCAAGAGCAATAAATGCTGCAACAGTTAAGACAAAAAACTGTTTGTTAAAAAACAGCAACACAAATGCAGATCAATGTTTGAAATATTAGCCAATTATGTCAATTCACAGTAAATACCGATAACAGAAAACTACACAGCAAAATCTAATTTAGTGGACACGAGAGATAAACCAATGCATTTAAAGACTGTATTTGAACTAGATGTGAAAAATATATATAAAAGGAGGACAAAAAATATTTACAAGAATTAAATGACTCACCAGAAACAAGAAAAAAGGGTATCTGTGAGCATTTATCAACAAAAAATGTGGCTGGACCAAATGCTGGAGTTAAGAGACTAAGGCAAAAAAAAACAGCATGCGCCACACCATGGCCTAATCCACCAGCTGCACAAACAATTGACATGACATCAGTACCTAAATCAGTTTATCAAGTAACTACAGAGAAAAGGCTACTCATTCTTAACTCTTGGGTTCAAGAATCTTATATTATTTAAGTGACACAATAAAAGTTTTTTTTTTTTTATCTTCTTTTAGTCTTTTATCTGCTACATTTACTTCACAACCAAGTATTTGTTCCAACACTTGACCACTCATAGAAACTGTAACATATGTTTAATCAACAGAAGGTGAAAGAGGAAGGTTCAGACAATCATAACCTTTTTCTTTGTATATTTTATAAAAATTCAAATTGGTTATTATGCTTATGCACTAAATAAACTATGGTTTGATATATGAAGAAATTGTCCATTATTTACAGACAAATCAAAAAATGGATAAGCAATTAAGTTCTTACATGTGAATGCTTGATACCCTTGTGGGCTTACAAAACTGATCATGTTCCCTACAAAATATCTTTCCCTGCTAGGCAAGAGGATCACAAGCCTACAGTTTTATTTCAACTTTATATCAATAAAATTTCATAAATAACTAATTAATTAGTTTATTTATGGCGTCCAACGAATTTGATTAAAAAATATCAAACTCTCAGGAGTTGAATTTTCTGAAGAATCAGAATATAACTAAGATCTAAAACTCATCACAAATGAACACACCCTAAGAATGTTATTGCTAAAATTTGATCGCTTCTTCAACTATACAGTCTGGAAAAGTAATTTGATAGCTCTATAAAGCTCACCAAGTGCAATTTGCATTTTATCAGTGAGAAACAGGCGCGGTTTTGAGACTCTGTCAGCATAAGCGTCCAACATGTCTTCCAACCTCCTACATTAAGTCCAAAAAGATAGATGTTACCAAAACCAACATACCCTTGCAATATACAGGTTCTTCAGTCCACCATATTTCAATTACACTACCTAAAATATATCAGAATTAGAAAATGTTCTAGGAAAAAGAAGACCTTCCTATCAGAACATCAGTAACAACTCCCACAAAGGCGGATGAGAGAAAACATGAAGGAAATGGTATGGACAATTTTCAAAACCATCACAAAAACCAGAGGTCGCTTTACATCATGCAACTTGTTTAAGAAAAGAAGACTGAAAATGATGGATATGCAAGTCCCCAAGAGGTTGAAATGTTAGATCTGTTGTAAGCTTGATAAAAGTATAGACCAGTAGCTAGCAATGAGACAAGAATGAACACACCAACTCAGGAAATGGAACAAGAGTTGAAGCTAATACAAGATAACATTATGAAGGAAGTTAGGAGAATGCTAATAGAAAGCCCACATCAAAGTGCTCATACAACCACAAAGGGAAAAAAAAATAAAATACAGCTCCATCAGAAATTTAAGTTGAAGTATAGCAGTATATAAGCATATGCAAAAGATAAATGTTCATATACAACATAGTTTAACTAATCCAGTATATCTTACAATGTAAGGGAATAAAATTTTCCTTTAATTCTAAGATTATGCCCTCTATCAAGTTCAAAGGGTATGCCAGATGGTAGAGGATAGCTAACGTATGAAATCCTTGAATATGATAATTAGGGTTTTTTAACCATCAAACCCAGTGGACGTAAAGTGAATGATGACGCAGCAAAAAGGTTTTAATAGTGTGAACTGTTTTGATAATTTAGGTTATTTTTACAATCAAAATCACTGGGCTGAAGAAAATGAAACCAAGATGATAGTGTGACTAGTGCTTAAACAGCTCACTGTAATAGCATACATAATGATCAACAGAAGCATAACTACTGACTTAAAGTAGACAAAATTTTCCCCTTTCATGTCAATTCATGAGTGTAGCCAACATTTATGTTACAATTGAGATACAAAGAATGATAAACCACATCTAAGATATTAGATAATAACTTACTTGTAAACTTTCCAGAAAAAGACACGAAGCCCTTCTTCAAACCCAACAGATGTTATTATTAGCAAGGCATATGGCCACCATGTTGTTGATTTCAGAGGAAGAAAAGCCCTCCATACAGCCGACAGGATTATAAGACTTATAAGCCATAGCAGTGTACTGCACATAGATTAATCACAAAAACCATTGGAGCTCAACAATCTTTAAGGCACAGTTAATTTACAGCAATTGCTTGTTTAAAATCATAGTAAAATCACCGGAGTGACATCTTTTTTAGTAACAAAAAACATCACTTGTAATGCATAACGGCATTTTATTAATATTTCACATTATCTGATAACAAAATAAAATGTTACAACTTGGATATTGCATTACAAGTATGACATTGCACATTAAAATGTTACCAAAATCCTATTCTGCTATCATCTTGGTAACTTAATATGACAGTCTAATAAAATTTTGATGAAGTTCTTTTTATTCATTTCTTTAATTATTTATTGGTTCAAAGGAATGTCATTTCATAGTAGTTTCATCTAATGCTTAACAAAGAACCCTAAATCTAACATTTAATAGCTGCAAATTGAGCTCAAAAGAACTTAAAAAAAAAAAAAAACACTCCAGAATGACTCACTTAATTTTCCTTTCACTTAAATACCACTGTTTGGATACCAAGAGAACTAAAGAAAACATTTTTTTCGCGCTATTAGGCTTTCGCAAGTAACAAAAAATAAAAACCCGTTAACCATAGTTGTCTCGAGTCACACCCAATAATGAGAGGNCTCTTCCTTTTACTTGGAAACCTCTCCTTTCTCAAGTGAATCCAAACTAAATCCCCCGGTTGGAAAAGCTTAGGTTTTCTATGCTTGTTTGCCTTATTCTTGATCTTTTCATTTGATTTTTCTATTTGGGTGCTGTTTAGGAAAAGGGTTTTACGGGTTGGTGCCTTGGATGGTGTTTGGGAAAGTGTTTCGGGAGTTGTTTGTGTGGGAGCTTGAATAATGGCTTAGGTGGGGGCTAAGGGTGCAAGGGCTTAGGTGCCAGCAGCCCCAATTTCTCCACAAGTTTGGTGGAAGCAACATTGGTACAACTCCCACTATCAATGATCATTGAGCAAACTTTTCCCTTGATAGTGTACCTTGTATGGAACAAGTTCTCCCTTTGGTTCTCTTGGGGGTTTACTTGAGTATGCAACAACTTTTTGAGCATAAGTATCTTAAAGAAACGGTAGGTACAGCTAGTCCGTGAACAGCCAACCATCGCACTATAAAAATTGGATAGGTTCAATCTACGGTCATTGGGTCCTCCTAAAAAGATCTACTAAATTCATCAAGTTGCTCCAAAGAATCAAAACGGCTGGTTATTAATGGAATTCCTTGTCGGCTCTCTGTAAAATACTCGTTTGGATGAGGGCTCCCAAACACATCGTAATCCACTATCAGCTTCCTCAATAACCTCATTCTCACTCTCATCTACTTCCTCTTCTTCACTAAAATCCCTTTGACAAGCATCATCAATCTCATTTATCTCTCTAAGAGTCATAACTCTTCAGTTTGGACAATTTGTTTGGAAGTGCCCATAACCTTGACACTTGAAACATTTCTTGTTCTTCAAATCAGGCCGTGGAGCATCATTCTTCACAAAACCTGTTTTCTCCTTTGGTGTTTCATTGTCTTTGTTCTTATCATAAGTCGTAGGTGCCATATATGGTTTGGTGTAGGAAGGTGAACCCCTTTGGTAGTTACTTTCCTTAAAGAGTTTCTTGGGGGCCAAGGACTTCATGCTCTTCAATTACTTTTCAATCCTTGTGGACAGCTTGCAAACATCCCCAAAGGAATGGTAAGCTTGCAACTCAAGCTTGTATGCAATGTCCTTACTCAAACCGCCGATGAACCTTGCAATTNTAGCATAGTCCAAGCGAACCCACTTAAAATCTTTACTAAACTATGACCGGCCATCATATTAGCAAATAAACGTATTCCTAAGCTTAATGCGCGAAAACAATAAGAAATTAGCTCAAGGAGTACTAAAAAAGGTGCTAACGGCAGTGGGACTCCTGCGGGTAATAAGAAGCTTAAAAAATGAAGCCCATTTCTTTGAAATCCCACTATAGTAATGCCAATAAAAATCGAAAATGAGAGACCCAAAGTAATGAGAAAATGACTAGTAACTGTGAAGCTATAAGGTATCATACCCTGAAGATTAGAAAATAACAAAAAAGTAAAAGTGACAAAGATGCAAGGGAAAAACTTTTGTTTCACATTTCCGGAAAGACCCCCTATTTGTTCGTTTACCAGGTTCAGCACGAAATCATAAATAAGCTCTACCAAGGATTGCCAAGCATTTGGGACTAAGTTTCCTCCTCCCTTTTTAGTAATAAAATGAATCAGAAGTAGGAAAAAACTCAGAGTTAGCAGCATGAACAAAGATGGATTTGTGAATGAGAAATAGAAGTTTCCGATATTCATAGGAATCAATGGGACAATCTCAAATTGGTCAAGTGGGGACTGCGCCACCAGCCCTATTTGATTCATAGCCTCCTTAAAGGCTGAACTTTGTACTCCGTTTTCGCTCAAATCATCCAAAATGTGCTGAAGAAAAGCGGTATTGTCACTTCCCGCTTCGGCCGCTTCAAAAACCTTGCGAGGTCGAGAACGACGGGGAGAGTGATGCAGAATGAAACCCTTACTTAGTGCGGAGATAGGATTTGAACCTACGACATCGGGTTTTGGAGACCCACGTTCTACCGAACTGAACGAACGGAGTTGGCTTCTCCCGTTGGTCAAGCAGGCTTCGCTCCTTGCGAGCTACCAAGCTGCTCTACTCTACTCGCACTGCTTCTTTCCTCTCCAATATCTGATTTTCTTAGTCTCGTTCTCGTCTCTATCTCTTAGGTCAAGCATCTTCGGGAATACCCGTCCCCGTCTTAGTCGAATACCTTTTCATTCCTTCCGCAAGTTCGTATCTTAGAAGAATCATCCCTTGTCTTTCGCCCGCGGGCGAGCTTCTGCTTTCTATTCTTACTCTCTCAGCAGCAAGACCATAGAATAGGAGAACCACTAGATCCGCTGCAATCCCAGTTGCCAGTTGACTCAACAAAGAATCGACTTTGTTTGCTTTGGTGCTTTCTTTTATGCCGGATATTACCACCAAAGCGGATATCGTGATCTTGGATCTAGGTACTTGACTTCCCCCTCTTCCTATGTATGGGGAGAGTAGCCTAGCCCATCCCCTCAGACCAGACTGAGCTTCATTGCCAATCCTTTGAGCCGCTTCGCTCCTTGGGATGCCTTACCGCTCCGTGGGGGAATCTCGAAGATCGAAGATTAGTATGAAACTAGAGCCATCTCCTTTTTGCAGGGGAATCTCCTTCGGTTGATTATCTGGTTTCGGAAGATGCATTTCAAAACCTTTTTCTCTCGTACCCATTTGCCTAAACTCCGGTGATCTAGCTTTGGCTTATGCCATTACCGCTAAACCCAATTCTTCTCTTCATGTATGTGGGCTGCCTTGATATTAAGTAAGGTGTCAAGGCGGTCGAAGAAGTGGAAGCAACCGATGCTTTGGTCATTCAGTTTCATCCTTGCTGCCAGTCCGTGCTTGCTGTCATGCTGGAAAAAGCAGNATATAAATATACTCAATCGGTTTTGAAAATTGTATAAAATCATACAATTAGGGAGGGGGAGATCAACAATCCCATTGCAATGCTTCGCACAATAGCAGCTGCTCTCCTATCAGACTTCTTCTGCTGAGAATTCGCGCTTAACGCCGCATCTTTCCCACATGGTGGAAGAGGCAATCCACAAAGGCCTGAATTGTTGACAAACTTCGTAGGTGGAAAAGTTTCGAGCTGTCCACCTTCAGGAATCATTCCACTGAGATGGTTGTTCAACAGATCATCGAAAACTTACAGCAGCTTGCCAAACAAAGGCTAAGAGAAAAAAGAAAAGAGGTATTACTGGCATAACATCTACAATTGGGTTCAAAAAAGCGTAGGCCTCGGGCAATTTGGTGAATAAAAAACTACTGAAATAGATGATAGAATTAAAATAGATATAAATCAAACTAAAGATATTAGGCATAACAAATATTTTTTTCTTGGAGATAGTTGTATTTTGATTAAGGGGAAGAGTATCATACAATACAAGATACTTAAATGAAATATTGTACTGTGAGTAGAAATATAGTTAGAAATTTTTGTATTACTTACTATTTACTATATGGATTGCAACAAAATCTTTATTTCAGAATTGGATTTTGAGTTGTTAGCAACTTCTATTTTTTTTGGTTCTTTTCTTCTTATTCGCTTTGGATCGGAAAATAGAAAAGTGGGGTGAATCAGAACCCAAAAGGAGGTTCATGGCCAAGGGTAAAGATGTCCGAGTAAGGGTTATTTTGGAATACAAATAAAAATAACAAATCAAAGAAAAAGAAATAGGTAAATAGAAGATTCAAGACGCCTGTAACGAGCAACATAAAGACAAGGGAGTCGACTTGATTTTTTGGCATTCTAATTATAACCACAAAGAAGAGCTTTTTGATTTTGACTCTTTTGTATCTTTAGAACTAATCGAATTGGCTTTCTTTTTGAAATCCATTGTTGTTAAATGTGGGCTGGGTGAGACTTTTATACACTCCAGTGAAGTTACAGGGATTCCTGATTGAAATTCTGTTCGACTGCTCCTGTCTAATTCCTCCAAACTCAAACAAATTTCCTGCTCCATGGCACTCTTTACTACCATCATTCTTAATGTACACATATATCTTCCCCGCGATGAAATTCACCGCGATTTTACCAGATTGTTTGAACAATGCAGGAGGGATGGATCCATTTAAGTTATTGGNGTACATACTATAAACCCAGCATCTAAAGGAGCGGAAACAATCATTACAAACAATTTATTTTACTTGATTCTACTTTCCTTGTTTGATATTTACATCAAATTCATGATAGCATATCAGCCAAATGGTGAAGCTCCAATCTCATGTACCAGTAAGGGAGTGACGTCTGGCCTGGAAGGAGGAGATTGGTCACCTCCTCATTCATTGAGAACCGATGAAATCCTCCAAATTGTGAAAGATTTCAGGCTTGCTGCACGTAATGCCATTGAAGCTGGTGACTCCATTATACATCTTCGCTAACTCAAACCACTCCTTTTGGCTTATTTTTTTTAACCAAACATTTGGACTTTACAGGTTTTGATGGGGTTGAAATCCACGGAGCAAACGGGTACTTGATCGATCAGTTCATGAAAGATCGAAGTGAATGACAGAACTGATGAGTATGGTGGGAGCTTGGAGAATCGGTGTTGCTTTGCTCTATAAATAGTTGAAGCTGTGGTTAATGAAGTTGGAGCTGATACAGTTGGCATAAGATTATCACCTTATGAACAATGCATGGAGGCTGTTGACTCATATCCTGAAGCATTAGGCTTGTACATGGCCAATGCACTTAACAAATTTGGGATTGCTTATCTGCACATAATTGAGCCGCGGAGGATTAAAACTGAACATGAGTATGAAATTCTGCAGAGTTTACTTCCTATCAAGAAGGCTTTTAAGGGTACTTTCGCTGTTGCTGGAGGCTATAATAGAGAGTGGTAACACGGCTGTTGCAGAAAGTTATACAGATTTAGTTGCATTTGGTCGCTTGTTCTTGGCTAATCCAGATTTACCGAAGCGATTTGAGCTAAACGCAGAGTTGAATAAGTATGACAGAAGCACAATGTTGTTGGTTTTGCTTGAAAACAAAGAAGAAAAACAGATGAAAGAAAGAGAACCGAGACCTGGAAAAAATGCTCTGTTTTTTATTCAAAAAACAGGGATAAATTTATACAAGCACCCGCATTCACCTAATGGTTTAAAAATTTGAAATTTAAACACAATACTTCAACTAATACACGTTCAGACAAGAGAAAATATTACATTTAATCAAACCAAATACACCTAAACACATCACTGAATCATTCCTAAAACAGTGACCAAAAATTGCTTCTGCATGAACAGTGGGAGTCCAATCGGCGGCAAAACATGCAGTTCAAATTTTCTGTCGACACTATCATTTCCAGCATGGTATCGCCATTCAACACTCCTCCTTGATATCATTGCTGGAAACACCAAGTCTGAATTAAAGATATCCAAACTTGGCTTTGGATAATGGCTTAGTCATGATGTTTGCGACCTGTTCTTCTCCTCGGCAAGTATCAACTCAACTTCACCATCTTGTTCAGCTTCCCTTACAGCATGGAATTTTATCTTTATATGCTTGGTACGACCATGATGAACTGGGTTCTTGGCCATAGCAACTGTAGATAGATTGTCACAAAAAATCACAATAGGTTTCCTCTGAGTTTGCTTTAGATCATTCAGAATTTTCCTAAGCCAAATGGCTTCTTTCACGGCAGCAGCAGCAGAAATGTATTCTGCTTCTGCTATAGACTGAGCTACAGTTTCCTACTTTTTGGACAGCCAACACACAGCTCCTGAATTCAAGAAAAACATATAGCTAGAAGTACTCCTCATATCATCAATGGATCCAGCCCAGTCACGGTCTGAATATCCAACAAGGTGGAAATTTTCAGACTTCTTGAACTACACACCAAATCCAGGATTACCTTTAATATATCTGAGCACCCTCTTGGCTGCCCTGAGATGAATTTCACTCGGGTTACTCATAAACTTGGAGAGAAGACTCATTGCAAACATTAAATCAGGCCTGGTTGCTGTTAAGTACAACAAACAACCTATCAAGCTTCTGTACAGACCCTCATCTACCTTCACAGCCCCAGCTTCTTTGTTTAGTTTCTGAGTTGCAACCAACCGTGTATTGACTGACTTGCACTTATCCATGCCAAACCGTTTAAGAACCTCATTAGCATACTTCCTTTGATTAACAAAAATCCCACATGAAGCTTGATTAATTTCCATACCGAGGAAGTAGGACATTTTCCCAAGATCTGTCATTTCAAATTCACAATGCATGGCTTCTTTAAACTCATTCAACTGACTTAGACTGCTTCCAGTAATGAGAAGGTCATCTACATAGAGTGAAACAATAATCAATTCACCTCCCACCTCTCTCACATGTAATGTGTGCTCATTGGGACTTCTCAAATAATCATTGATCCTGCTTTTAGGCCATACAAAGCCTTCCTCAAAAGGTACACTTTATTCTCCTAGCCTTTAACCTGGTACCCTTTCGGTTGCTCAATATAAATCTATTCATTGAGCCAACCATTCAAGAACGCATACTTGACATCCAGTTGGAAGATTTTCCACCCGAATTGTGTAGCCAAAGCAAGTAACAACCTGATTGTATCATGCCTAGCCACGGGTGCAAATGCATCTTGAAAATCAATTCCATATTGTTGAGCGAATCCCTTGATAACCAACCTAGCCTTATGCTTATGAACTGAACACTCAGGATCAAGTTTCTTCTTGAAAATCCACTTGACTTGAATCACTTTTCTATCCTCTGGTCTGTCCACAAGTTTCCAGGTCTGATTTTTCTCTATCATTGCTAACTCCTCCTGCATAGCAACACTCCAAGCTTCGGATTTTACTGCTTCAGTGAAGCTTGTTGGTTCAAGTGCAGCCATATTACACCTCTCATATACCTCAGCCAAAGATCGGGTACCTCTAACCGGGAACTCCTCTTCAGCTTCACTTTCATCTTCTTCAAGAACTTGACCACCAGTAGCTTCAGTCAGCCGTGGTCTTTCTCCTTCATCAACTTTGTTCTCTTTCGAATTCCAAACACCTTTCTCATCAACCTTAACATCTTTAGTGACATGGATCTTCTTAGTTTCTAGACTATACACTCTATATGCCTTAGATTGATTGCTATATCCAATAAGTATTCTTATAGTTGCTTTGTCATCCAGCTTCCTCTTCTTGACTACTGGAACAAGGACATAACAAATGCTGCCAAAGACCCTTAAATGGTCCATGGCTGGTTTGATTCCATACCAAGCTTCATAAGGGGTTTGGTTGATCAAGGGTTTTGTGGGAAGTCTATTAAGTAAATAGACTGAAGTATTTACAGCCTCTACCCAAAAACATTTCGGCAATTTCTTTTCAGCCAACATGCACCTCGCCATCTCTATAACAGTCCTATTCCTCGCCTCACTTACTCCATTATGTTGTGGAGTATAGGGACTACTGTATTGGTGCTTAATCCCTGCCTCTATACAGATTGTTTCAAACTCCTTTGAAGTGTACTCAATCCGATTGTCACTCCTTACCATTTTAATACTCAAACCAGTTTGGTTTTCAACTTGTACCTTAAAGCTCCCAAAAACTCCAGCCACTTCATTCTTTTGCTTCAAGAAATACACCCAACACATTCTAGACATATCATCAATGAACAAGACAAAATACTTACTCCCATTAAATGAAGATGTTTGCATAGGTCCATATACATCTGTGTGGATGAGTTGGAGTTTTTCTATAGCTCTCCAAGCTTGGTTTATGGGAAAGGGTAGTCTGCTCAGCTTGCCAAGTTGACATGCATGGCATATGGATTTAACTTCATCAATTTCGGGCATGTTCTGGACTAGCTGTCTGGTCTGAATTTCTTTGAGGCCGTGGTAGTGATAATGGCCAAATTGTTTATGCCAAATTTCTTATTCATCTATCTTAGCACTATGAGCTTTGAATTCTGATTTTTTCCTGTCAATGGGAAAGCTTTTTTTCATCATTCTAACCCTCATAAGTTCATAGCCCTCACTATCTAGTATTTTACAAGATTGATCCTGAAAATGTAGGACATATTTTCTCTCTAACATTTGTCTTGCACTGAGTAAACTTTGATTTATTTCAGGAACATAAAGAACATCAGAAATCAACTTGATACCTGATTGAGTTTGCACAACCACATCACCTTTCCCTTTGACATCCACAAATTCTCCATTCCCTATCTTGGCCTTGGATTGATATGCCTTGTCCAAGCTGATGAAACTTTACAAATTCGGAGTCACGTGATTGGTGCACCCGCTATCAATCAACCAGGTTTCATTGCAAAGTGAGGCTCTGCCACAAGATGCCATAAATAATTGCTTAGCTTCTCACCCTTGTTAGAAGTTTTCAACCATCTGAGCTTGCTACTGAGAGGGTTCCCCTTTGTTTTTACAAACTCTCTCTATATGACAGAATTGCTTGCAAGCTCTACACTGAATTCCTGGCCTAAACCAACACCTTTTTCTTGCAGTGGGAACACGGTGGATACTCCTTTATCCCACCAGATTTGTTCCACTGAACGTTAGCCCTTTCTTTCCCTTTCTTGTCTCCTGCGTTTCTCTTATTTCCTCCCTGTACAAACTTCCCTTTATGTGTTGCAATAATAGCACCTTCACCCGCGTCTTCTTGCCTTAAAAGCCTCATTTGCTCTTAAGTTTGTAAGGAATGGACTAGCTCAGTGAGTTTTATTTGAGTAAGGTCCTTAGAATCCTCAAGGGAGGAGATTTTAGCCTCAAATCTTTCAAGTAGGCTCACCAACACTTTCTCTACTATTCTTCTATTCATCAACTCCACCCCAAGCAATCTAATTTTATTAACCACACTCATCAATCTGCCAACGTACTCCCTCACCTTCTCAGTTTCTTGCATTCTTAGCAACTCCAATTCCCTTCTCAAGTTCAACACTGGCATGCCTTTTGTTATGTCACTTCTCGTATACTCTTCTCTCAACTTATCCCATGCTTCCTTTGGTGTTTCATATGCCATAATCCTTGTGAATACAAGGCCAGTTACTGCTGCATGGATGTGAGAGAGGGCTCTTGGTGCCTTGGCAGCTTCTTCTTCATGCATCCTGATTTGATTTAGGGTGGTATTTGGTCCCAACTGAGGCAGTT